CCATCTATTTTTCCCAGCTCAGTCACGTACACTTCCCTCTCCTTCTTGTACAACGGACATTCCGCGACTACATGAACACGGTCTTCGCATTCGAAGCCGCAATCACATTTGAACTCGTCGTCTTCGTCGTCTACCGTCCTATGCCTTCGTCGACGTTCTCGAAGGCCTATGTCCCCGGTCCTGAATTCGACCTCAAGCTTTGTTCCTGCATCCATTGGTCTATGTAGGTAATCCTTGAACCCTATTCCTTCCTTCAACATTCCGTACACTTCTAGACCCTCCTTATCGTTGGATTCTTTCCTTAGACTCTGTTCTTCTCTCTCGGCACAAGCAACATATATCTTCTCCTTGAACCCCTGTAGACCCTCCGTTTCCAGCGTTTCATCTTCGTCGATTTCGAGCCCCTTCCATACGTCCTCTAAAACCGGGGGGGGGGGGCGCGGGCACTTTACTTCCTATGCAAAGGGTAGGGGCCGTGGGCGGGTGCAGGTTTTCATCTGGGTACCCGAGTGCGCGAGCTATGATCCTCTTTCCCATAGGCACAACGGTGGAGAGAGAGTTTGTCGACAGCGAAGGTCAACCTAAGGTTACCAAAGCCACCATGTTCGACTACTGCGACCCCTACTGGCGGGTAGAGTCCCCCGACGGCGATTGGGAGGAATCAACCAAGCGCGAAGTGGACGCGGGTGTTGGCGTTGCCACCCGCCCTTTATTTTCTGCTTGAGTTTTGACCCTGCGTGTACCACTGCCTGGAGCCTGCCGACTGTTGTCTGGCAGTCTGGGGGTGTGTGATGGCAGTGGAGGAACGCGAGAAGTAGTATTGTGCGCGAATTTTATGCACCGACGTCATCGCACCGATCGGTGGAGAATGGAACAAACGAGGATCGTCTTCTCCAGACCGCCTCCTCCAGCCTGACCACGATGTCCAAGATCACTTGGTGGAGAATGGAATGAAGAGAGTCAAGATAGCCTTCTCCACTTTGGCCCGCGAGATTCAAGACCACCATCTCCTGGTCCAACATCGGCCCTCTCCTTTCTAGATTATGTCTTTGGGGACTATCTAGGAAGTGGAGGGTCGGACTCTTCCTTCTAGGATATGTCTTTCCGGACTAACTAGGAAGTGGAGGGTGACTCTCCTTTCTAGGCTACGTCTTGGCGGACTGCCTAGGAGGTGGAGAGTCGAACCGGTTTGGGAACCGGATCGCCCGTCCTGTTAGCATAGGCGTTTACCACGGTCGATGCTGGGGGAGTGTTCCGGTCGGACGTCCCAACCGGTTCATAATACGATGATGGATACTTCGCTACGGTAGCGAAGGATCCGGAGGGCGCGGGCTGTCATGACCGGGGATCCGAACAGACCTACACTGTTCCCCCGGTCCAGCCTGTTGGGGTGGTGCAGGGCATGTCTCCTGACCTCCGAGATCGTACCGCCTCACTCGGCGTGCTTTCCCGACCGACACGCAGGTGGTTAATAGATACCACCGGCGATCACGCGAGAGAAAACTGAGCCATACCCTTGCCTTTGTGCCTGCCAAGTTCCAATCCCTTGTGAGTGATGAACCTGATGCGCTGATATCGAGGTTGTGAGGAACCATATCACTGCCGTTGGGCGTCGCCAATCACTGCTTAACCTTGTTTGTTAGATATGTAGACTACTGCTGTAGTTGATGGTGGATATATACATGCGGTTTGCTCCAAAGAAACGTAGCTTGCCAACAATAAATTCAGACAAACAAAAGAGCTACCAAATTGATTTGTTGAGCCTGTTACCCGCAGGGGAGATGTCCCTATATGCTGTCTGGGAAATCGTAGACATACAGGTAGTTTTCTCTGACGCTATGATTCCATTGTTAATCTGTCATACATAGTGACTCTTTTCTATGATAGAGATGGACTCGTTGTGTCATATTAAGAAAAATAAAAAAAAAGACAAAGGGGAGGTCCATGCAGGTAGCGGGATAACTTGCTCACTTGTACTTTGGTTGTGGGCCGCAAATCGAAGGGTAAAACATAACATTCCAGCGACAAAATGGAATCCGCCACCTGCTGCAGCAGGTTTGCGAGGTTATCCACTGGATAGGGGTCGTCGAAAACTAGCAAGCTGAAGAGCAAATGTGTTGTCCCTAAATGCATGTCCACGCAAGCTAGAATACCAACTACAGCAAGCTGCACACACGTGATCAACGGTTTATTCACAAACACCCATATATTTCCTTCTGCACCCTTCAAGAATAGGTACGTATCAACAGCAAATAAATATTGTACGTACCTGACGTTAGCCGATGCCCTGGACCCGGGTGTGCCTTTTGCAGCGTAGATCAAGTTGTTTGAAGATGGCCAACAACCGTCTTGTTTGTGAGCCTGCTACCCAACGAGGAGGTATCGCCGATTGCTGTAGATCAAGAGTCTATCAAAAAACAAGAGTTGGTCAACAACATGATCGTTATTTTGACACTTAGACTATCTCTGTGGATGGAGAGCCGATCAAAAAAGGCCAAACAAGGCAACTTTCTTGGATTGCTCAGACAATGCATCTCGATCGTCTTTGCCTAAGCGATGTGCGTGCATTCTCTCCTTGCTATGGGTTTGACCAGATCAGTTAACCCCACGCTTTGGAGAGGAAACAGCAGCACATCGTCCGACAAGTGCTCACCCGTGGTCGAACGTAAAGGTTGAGGGTCGGAATACCCCTCCAAGGAGCATTGCTTGGGAAGGTGCAGCTCGTGCACGGAAACCTAGCTTTTTCACTCTTACGAACCTAGAGCTTGTACCGTATACAGCAACCTAGCCCTTACCACCTCTTACGCCGCGCCCTAGGCGCACACGAAGCGCAACCTCATCCATCGTTCATTGTGGGTGAAAAAATGAGAATGGTTCACGACCTTTGTACACCAGGGACTTGACGCCTGTACTTGAATACATGCTACTGTGTCACTGCCGTTTTAGTGACTGCGAACATGTCGTGCGGGCGTCGATGTACCGGCAAGAGCGGAACGCCCGACCCAAAGGAAAATGCCGTGGTGGCTCTACGAACAATGCGGATACACTCGCAACAGAGGTGACGACGACACACACTGCGCTGGCCGAATCCCCTTTATCGGCTCCCTTCGCAGCAAACGGCGAAATCGATAGATGTGTACGTTGCATACCTCGATTCGTTCGTTTATTGTTGTTTCTTCCATCTTTCATCAAGAACCAATCGCAGCACCAAGCTTAGACTAGTACTGCAGCTCTCACCCAGCGACGCTGCCGACAAGCAGGTAATAGAGCTCCAACGTTTGGTCCTGCAGTAGGGCTGGTCGCGCGCCCGTGTCTGCAAGGTGTGCGTGTGGTGTGTTTGTTGCCTTGTGACAAATTCAACCTCAAAGCTTCAAAGGCAGTGTGCGGCCCACCGGAGCGACAAATGTCGGCACCCCTCCCATACATAGTCTGTAGGGGTCCAACAAAAAAAAAATTATTTCGCGCGAAGCTGGAAAAGAAGGGTCGGAGAGAGACATCAAAGCAAGCGTAGATCGTTTTGTATACGGCTCTCCATTCTGTACTAAGCGTACTGCTGTTGGTAGATAGATATGGATGGAGCCTAAACCACCACGTAGGTCACCAGTGCGCATGCTCACACCTCACCCTATTGTTAGTAAAGGCTTACCCATTAGACTACTCAGCGCTGACTGAGTAGTCTAATGGGAAAGCCTTTACTAATAAAAGATACACTCTCGGCTCGTAGAATCCCGGGCTGTAAGTAGAGGTCTCGGGGGACGGACCCCTCGCCAGGTGCTGCCGAGAACAGAACTATGGTGCTTTTCGTAAAGTGATCAGCCCGGGATCTGAACCTGTGCGTGTATCCTTCGATTGGTAGAGGCTTACCCATTAGACTAGTCTACTCAGTCAGCGCTGACTGAGTAGTCTAATGGGTAAGCCTTTACCAATCGTGCTGTGCGTAGGTGCGCAGTTGCTTTCTTCGCTTTCGCCACTAGCGAAGGGCAGCGAGCTCTAAAAATTGGCCCGGACCCCTCCCACGGCGTGTGTATTTGGTCACCCTTGGCTTACAGCGCTGTGTCCTTCTCACTTGTCTCTAATTTCGGGGTGCGTCTGTTGTGGAAGCAAAAGGTCGGCCGGCAGACGAAGAGACCGCAGACAGATACAACAAGTATATGAATGACGTGTGAGCAGTCGCATGTTCCCTTGCTTACGTGGCTAGTAGGCCTCGGGGTCTACAAATAACTTCCGACGCCAGCCATGATGTGTGCCTTTTACCGGCCTTGGCCTACAGCATCAGTGTGTAGGCCTCGTTTTCTCTATTGTGGGATGATTTTTTGTTTTTGTTTTTTTCTCCCATTATTGGACTCTGTCGTCTGCCCCTCTGGCCCCTACCTATCCTCCACTTCTACCTGCTAGACGACCCAACCGGGGTCACATAGGAGGGGGTGGTTGGACCCCCTCCTGCGGTTCCTGCCTGAGATATTTTTCAAATTGATATTTTTTTAATCGCGAGAAGGGTACAGCAATCCCTTCTTATGAAGTCGATCAGCTCGTCGCTTCCAACGGAGACCAGAAAAACTTACTCTGTCGGGACTCGAAACCTCCTGCAGTACCTGCTTGAAATATTTTTTTTATCCCGAGAAGGGTATACAACAATCCCTCCCCTCGCGACTTCTATTTACGAAGTCGATCAAATTTACTAACAACGAGCTTTGCAACGCGTCGCTTTCAACGGAGACCTGGATATAAGTAGCGAGAAAAAACCAACTTTGTCGGGCCTCGAACCCATGACCTGGCCCTTAGCAGGCTGCGAAGCTACCCACCAGACCACCCGGGCGACCGATGTGTCTGTGCGGGATGCTCCAAAGATCTGTAAGTTTTTTAGTAGAGTGATGATGCAGACCGACCGCGGATTGACTTGCGTCGTCACTCGCTTGTGCTGCCGACAGCAGGCAACGGGCTGCAAGAGTCATACCCAACGCCTCGCATGTTGTGTGCCTTTGACTGCCCTTGGCCTACAGCATTCCGAATACTGCTGTGCTGGTTATATCGTACGTTGTCTACGTGATGTGTATACCGTATATGACACAAGATAACACACCCCCTGGACCGATTTTCAAATCTTGATCTCTCAACAATGGAAAGAGTCACGGCGCCGTAAAAGGCGGCGTTGGAACCGTCGTGCCGAGAGCTTTCCAAAAATATATCGTTTCGTTTATGCATTCTCTTGGTCGTGGAGTAATCGAGCGTTGAAAATTGGTCCAGGGGGTGTTTTATCTTGTGTCATATACGGTAGGTGCTGCTATGCAAGAGGATTTCGGTGATTCTGCCGAGAGCGTCGTCCCCATCGCCCAATTATCTGTCTTTGTCTTGCGAAATGTCTTACAAACTCGACGGGTGATTGGTGGGAGATGGGCATCTACCCGGCTCTACCCCTCTAAAACATAGATAATTGTTTGAAGTTCTTCCGTGTCTTACAAAAATATTGTGAAAGTCACGCCAGCCACCCCTTCGTAAAAAACGCACCTGGATGTGAAGGAACTCCCAAAGTCCCCCAGGTTGCCTCTCTCAGCTCTCCCCGCTGCTGCTTGCTGCTGGCTGTTGGTTGTTGGGCAGTGGTGAATCGATCCACGGCCAGAGAGGGTCCACCATGTCAAGAGTCTTCGTGTTGTTGTGTTTTCTTCTGCCAGCTGGAGTGCATTCCTTCCTGGGCCACCCCCAAGTCGTGATCGGGAGCAGAACAGAGAGGTGCCGATCGATGCTCATGATTCTGCGTGATGGTGTCGCATGATCTCCTGTATGTTGATGGTGTTGTTGGGTACTGCTGCAGCTGCTGCCCGCCAACTCCTCTCCTTTCGAGAAGAGCTTGTTAGGCCTGTCTACCATCACAGCTTCTTTATCCTGTGTCTTCCGGCCTGATTCATGTGGTTACCGCTCTGTTCGACTCCATGGCCGCACGAAGAAGGTTTTACTGCCGTACCATGCATACAGCCACCGCATGTGCTTCACGCGACCCAACCAGAAAACTACAGCCTAGGCTAGACTACGGCTGTCGTACAGCGAGCAGGGTACTCTGTCCAGTACAGTGCAGTGCTTGTGTACCACAGAAGTTTCTTTTACAATGTCGGTGATCTGCCGCCGTGGCGTGGCTGCATGTGAAGAAGGTACAACCAAACAATCGCCGTGTATGGTACCATAATGGTACAAGATACCTTCAGTCAACGTAGTTCATGCACCTACAACATGGTCTACATAATGCTGTGAACTCCGCTGATGGGTATCTACATTTGCTCGATTTGTATCCCATCATACACCTACATTGTATCGGGCAAAGCGTACTTGTGACGATGCAGGATCCCAAGCGGTATGTATTTCGCGTGTGTTTCCATCTTCCATGCTCCCCGCAGCCCCCTCGTGCTTGTTCCTCGTTCCCTCGTCAGGATCATCCTCGTGGTGTGCTCCGTTCTTCTGCATGTACTCGGAACATGCAAGTCGGTTGTACTTCCTCTCATCCCGTGTTTGTGCCAGCAGTACTCAGGGTCAGTGCAGAGCAGACGCCGCCCAGCGTACCTTATAGAAAAGCGTCTGAAACCTCCAAAACCGTCCGACGTGCGCCGGCGGGGGCAGCGGCAGCGACATCACGCAACAGGCACCATCAGCAGCATGGACTCAAGCGGCCACGCCACCACAACCACCAACTAGGTACTGCACGGAGCTGCGCATGACCTCATCCAAGTCCAAACGGTCGAAGAAGGCAAAGACAGCAACAGCTGGACCGACTGCGACCGCGACCGTTTCTCGGGACGAAGATCTTGCCGGCTTCCTGCGGTGGGCGGGGGAGGAGATAGGAGTCAAGGCTCCCAAGCTCAAGGGCAGCTTTGTCGATGGGTTACGCGGTAAGTGTCCAGCCGATTGTCGCCCCCGGTATTTACTTGGTACTGCCTTTACCGGCATTGCGTCATACGCCCATATAGTGGAATGCCGGCCGGATTTTGTCGATGGAGTGTAGGCGGTGAGGGCCAAAGGAGTGCCCAGCCGATTGGCGCAAGGTATCGCCCCCTTTTTTTCCGGCATTGCATCGTTCGCTCTTTCGATTACCACTAGCAATCGGCGATCAACATCCCGACGGGTTGTTCCGCCCTTTGTGCATGCGCAGACGTTGTGTTCTAGGAGTTATTGGAAGTGGAATGGCAGTCTGCCTCTACACAAACGGGATTTTGAGCGGAGCATCCACGGATAGATCGTGGTGGACCTCGCACGCAGCTTTTTGCCAGTTGTCGAAAAGGTGGCTCGACACGTTGCAGCTCCTCCTTGGGTGGTCAATACACTGCCGGTTTAGTCGGCTTCTTCCTGTTCCCCTGCTGGTGAACGCGCCCTGTGTATGGTGTTCGTGGCACAGCTAGCTTTCGCGCTCGAATGCGTTGTTTTTGTTCTGCGGCCGATACCCCACGGGAGGACCACGCCTCAATCCCCGATGTCCCTCATAGCCCGAACCAAAGTTCTTTATCCCGTGCTGTCGCCTTCCCCGTTCTGCTGCTGCTGTAACGGCAGGGCTGGTCGCGACCCAGAACATCGCGAAGAACGACGAGATGGTGGTCGTTCCCAGCGAGTCAGCGCTGGTCACCACGACTGACCAGCTCTGCCCGTTCCCCGAATGGGTCAGCAAGGAATTCTGGGCCAGTAGTCCATGGTGCGTGCAGCATGGCGAGGGGGAGGTGGGGTTAGGACCATGCTGGGTATCCGTTGGTTGTTGTTGCTGTTGGTGGCGGTGATATTGTTGCTGTTGTTGCTGCTTGCTGTTGTGAGGGTCGTTTTAGGTGATGTTGCGAGTGGTTGTGGTGCTGATGTTATTGCTGTTGCTGTTGTGATGGCCGCTCTTTCCCCCTTGTTGCTAATCGTTTGAATAATCATGCGGTATTGCTAGCCGCGTGCCTCTATTGGGTTTGACTCGCGGCGCGAGCATTCGCCCCCGCGCCTTTTATGGCGTCGCAAGATGTACGCTGCACGGAAAAAATGCCCACCTTCCTCTATGTGACGAAACAACCCGAGTCTTTGGTTGAGCATTGCGGAACGGTTCACTCGAAAACGGTCCTGGACGTTTCGCAGCTTGCACATTCGCTTTGTGTTTGCGTAGGCGCTGTTGTTGTTGCAGCGTTTAGGCGCATGTACTGTTCGGTGGCAATTGAACGCCGTTCATACACTCCGACCTTTGTTCAAATCTTTCGGAAACAGTATTGTAACACCTCCGTGTTTGACGAGTCAACTCCTCTACTCGACCGCCCGGGTTCGGTTTTTCTTTTGCTCTTGCAATGTTGCGCTTTGCTTTACTGCACGTCGCAGGCAAGTCAGACTGGCGCTCCTGTTGCTGCGCGAGAAGCAAAAGGGGGCGGGATCCGAGCTAGAACCTTGGTGAGAAGAGTGATAATTAAAAACGTCCCCTTTGCGACAAGCAGCGTGAGGACTCTCAACGCAACGCCCCGCTCGGCCTACCCCGTTTGAAAACCCGCCGCCGTTCTAGAAGCGAAATTATACCGCTTCATCGCAACGGGGTGTGCCATGCCCGCGTCAAACACCAGGCTCGGACAGCGCGCAAACACAGCCGTCCACGTGTGTGATTGCTTTTTGTGTTTTTTCTAGGATTTCCCGCCTCCCCGAGTCCTTCGGAACTCCTGTATCGTGGTCGGCCGCCGAGCTGTTGGAGCTGCAGTACCCTCACCTCGAGGTGGTGGCGAAGGAGCAGCGGGAGGAGTGGAAGGGTTACTACTCGTCTCTGATGGCGTCGAGCCCGGGGTGCGGGGTGGCGGAGGAGGAGCTGTCGTGGGCGATCGGGGTGGCGTACAGCAGGGCCTTCAGGCGAGTCCTTCCAGACCGTATATTGCTTGAGGCTGTGTCCTCCACGCTTTTTTTTCGTGCAGCAGTGGTTCCAATACATGCTATAATATCTCCTTGGCACAACAACCTGGCCTTGTCGCCGCTATTCAGGGACCTTCCCCCAATCGCGCGGCTCTGGAATTTTTTTTGTCTTGTCACTTTGCAGTACAGGTACCTGTTTGGTGGCGGCATGTGCCCCGAAATTCACCGGCACTGTGCCGAACCGACACTTTTCAAAGTTTTGAGAATTGCTCAGAAATTCAGTGTGTGCCCGCCGACAACACCGGCACTATACCTGGCACCGACACCATTCAACCGGCACTACACAGGAACCTCTTACCGTTCCGCGATATACCGTATATGACACAAGATAACACACCCCCTGGACAGATTTTCAAAGCTCGATCACTCCACGACGAAGAGGATGCATAAACGAAACGATACATTTTCGAAAAGCTCTTGACGAGACGGTTTCAACGCCGCCATTTTCGGAGCTGTGACTGTTCCTGCAGTTGAGAAATCGAGCTTCGAAAATTGGTCAGGGGAGTGTATTTTCTTGTGTCATATACGTATATATCGGGGCCACCACTGCTGCATGTGCCCGTGTTTTCGGGCCCTCTCGGTTTCGGTAGTGTTGCTAAGGGGAACAGCATGTGCCGTGGTCGGTTCATGCCCTGCCACTTTGCGACGAAACAAGCAAAGTTCGCGGGGGCTTGATACCCCGAGTACTGTAAGGCTGCCAGGTGCATTCAGGCGGCTCAGGATTTGCATGAGACAGATCGAGACTCGTTGTCGACGCAGGGGAAGGGGATGCCTTCGCTCTATCCCCGGCTTTCGCTCGCTTTTTCTTATTTCACTGCTGTTTAATTTTATTCCCCCGTGCTACGGATAACAACAATTGATCAATAGTGAGCGGCAACTTTCCCATCACTTCACGAGAATCAAATCACGTAGGAACACCCCACCAACGCTTGTCCTCTCCTTTCTATGCTCAATCTTCCTAACGCCTCCGGTCGTGTCTGTTGTGAATTCCAGTGGCCCGTATGAAGGGCGGGGGCCCAAGGAGCGCCTGGCGGAGGTGGCGTTTGTGTCGGCGCTGGCGGGAGGCTCTCTCGCCCTGGGGCTAGGCACACCCGACCAGGTGGCGAACGGGGCTTTCGCGGTGTTGCTCAGCATACCCTTGAGGTGATTCTCCTTCTTGTTCGGGAGTTTGTTGTGTTTTTGAAGTTGCATCGACCGCGCTGAGCAATGGGCAGACATAATCAGTCTTTGCAGCGGTATAATCAACGCGAACACGCTTTCTAATCAGAGGGGCTCTGCCGACACGGGGGGGGGGGNGGGGGGGGGGGGGGGGCGCAGGAGTTGGACGAAAGCTGGCGGCCTCTCGAGTACAAGGAACGTGTGTATGCGTGTTCGGTTGCGGGTGCTACGTAGATGTATTGTAGCTTCAGGTGATGCGTCGTGTGTTTGTTCTTGTTGGCATCAAGTATCGTCCAAACTCAGCCCTCGTTGCTGCGCCACGAAGGATGCGCAGCAGCGGTCAGGGGCTTTGTCCGTCACTTCGCGGGTATTCTCTTCTCGTACACCGAGTCCACTGCTGTATTGTGGTTTACTTCCCCCTTTGCACCACCCTCTCACATGGCATAGTTGCCTGTTGTGCTTGCCGCGGTTGGTTGTGACTGCTTTGTGCTGGATTCTCCATCCTCGTTTTGCCTTCCCCCTACTCTCTCTCACAATGGTGGTCGAGTGGATCATGTTGTGCGGGGTCGAGAACCCTCACTCCGCGCAAGAGGGATGATCGCACCACGTTGTGTTTATATGGTCAAGCACCCTCGAGGCAGTTACACAGTGCTTACAACTGTCTCTGGAAGCTAAAGCACCAGAAAGCAAATGAAGTCATACGCAGCTGTCATCCGTACGCAAGGAAGTAATCACAAGATGCCGAAAACCCTTGGCAGGATGCAGNCTTCCCACACCCTCGCACACCACACCCTTTCGCATTCACGGGACATGAATGCCGCTTCCAATCCCTAGAGACTTCTTTATGACGAAGCTGGTTCAGCTGAAGCGGTACGCGCTGACGCCGGTGGTTGACCTTATCAACCATCAGAGCGGGATCGACAGCGACGTCTCCTACAACTACTTTTACGGCTACTTCGCGGTCACCACTCAGGTTGGTAGATGCCAGGCAGGGCAGGCAGGGGGTCCCGAACAATGGATTGCTTGGGTGTGCACATGTTTTCGGGGAATAGTCCTGCCATTGATCGGTGGTACAATAGAACTAGGTTGCGGTCACCACTCAGCTCTGTTGTCTTTCGCGGCTTGTGTAGATGTCATGGGGGGGAACATCCGATGGGTACTGCCTCAGCCCTTCCTCCTTCGGCCTTCCTAACCTGCGCGTTGTCCCTTGTTTGTCCTTTCATCACACGTTTCTTGCCTTGCCTTGCTTCCTTTGGGGACCCATGTTTTTACACGTTTTCAGAGGGGATGGACGGCCGGGGAGCAGGTGTTCATCAGCTACGGGCCGCGGTCCAACGACCACCTGCTCCAACGCTACGGGTTCGTGGAGCAAGATAACCCCAACGACGTTTACCGCATCACCGGGCTTATCGACAAGGTAGGGGGACTCATTATCTCTTGCCTGTTGCATGCATCCTTCCGAAGCCCTTGCTGCTGCAAAGTCCCCGCGCGAGGAGCTGTGCGGGCAGGCAGCGCACGTGTTGTTTTGGGCAACGGTTTTGGAGGGTAACGATCACCTTGGTGATGACAAGGCCCTGTCTTGTTTGAGGCAGCCGTGAAGCCGATCCGCCGCCGGGTTGCTGTTTGATAGGCGGCCTTAGCCTATGGTTGGTCTATCGAACGGAAGACGTTGCTCGCTGGCGTACAAACCCATCTCACCAAGTTGGTGGGAGTAGACCGACCCGATTCAAGACATATACCTATATACAGATCCCGTCGCCGAATATCACGGCCGGTATAACTTTCTTGTAGATGAGGCGTTTTCTTCTTGCTTGCCGGTGTCTCCGTCGACGGACGCAGCCTTGGCATGTACCCCCCCCTCCCCCCCCTCCCTCTTCTTCCGCCTCCCCCACCCCCTCCGGTGCAAGGCAGAATGCAATCTATTTGGGTGCTTTCGTGGCAACAGGACGTTGAGATCGGCGCGCCTTCGTCTCGTTGGCCCCCTGCTGCACCACACACAACCATGCCGCGTGACACAAACAGCAAGACCTCTTTGTCCCCAGCTCACCCCCTGACCTGACCTCCCCGCACACGCGTCTCGCACCATCGCGTCTGTGTGATTTGCGGCAACAAACAACCGACATAAGCTGTCCGACGTCTTGGGCAAGGAGAGTGTCAGAGTGCTGCGAGAGTCCGGGGGGAAGCTTGGGACGACGGGGGACAATGCGGAAGGGGGGCCCGTGGAATCGGTTACCGTGGGGCGGTCGGGGCTTCTTGGGGAGGAGGAGGCCAGGGTCATGCCGGTGTTGCGGTTAGCTGTCGTCAATGATGACCAGGTGCGTTGGGGGTGGAAGTGCGAGGTAGGCTGTTCACGGTGTCTGTTTTTTTTCACGTAGGATTCTGTTTTCGCCCTTTGGTGGGTACGATTTTTTTGTTGTTTTTGTTGGCCTGCAACCGCCCGCAGTGTTCCCATTGGTCAATTTCGATGCCACTGTAACCTTCGGGTTGGGGGCATTGGTGGAAGAGTAGATCTGCCCCGAACCCCCAGGTGCAATCAATCAAAAACGGAGGTGACCAACGCAACCAAGAATCTATTGTATTAACCCTGGATGGTAGATAGCACACGATGCGATCAGAACAGCTCCAAGAACAGCCCACCTCAACACACCTCATCACATGTACGATCTCGCGAACTCTCCCCATGACCACTCCTTCATATCCCTAGTCGGATGGAACTAAACCTCTGGGTGAGCTCACCCCAACCAAGCCAAGAGTCATGAAGAACAACCAATGGCGGGTTCTCCCCAAACCTCCCCGCTCCGCCCGCCCGCCCCCACCCACAACGGCAATTCTGCGCCCGCCAATGTTTGTTGCCGCTGCTGTGTTGTCAAAAATTAGTTGCCCGAGGGGAAAGCGGCGAGAATCTCGCTCAAAGACTTTTCGAACGAAATATCGCCAGCCAATGAGGCTGCCGCTCGCGATGCTCTGAGGAAGGTGAGGAAAAGCGCCGTCAGCGAGAGGAAGGTGTACTCATGGGAAGTAGTATTATTCGCTTCGCATCTGGGACGGAGCAGTGTGTACCAAGTATGCCGTTTTTTTCGAGGGCGCAGGCGACGATTTGTGAAGACGAACCATACGCCAGTCAGTCGTCCTTGCTGTTTGCTGTGCCAAGCCAGATATGCGATGGGTTGGATCGGGAGAGAGCAACTTTGTGAGTCGTGCTCTGCTTGTCGACGGCGCCCCCCTGCCGTGCGTCGCAGCCTTGAGGGTGGAAAGTGGTGACGCAGGCTCTGGGTTTTGCCAGTGTTGCCGTTAGCTGGTTTTCCTTGTGTATGCTGCATGACCGACCGCGTCGTCCTTGAACTCGCGAAGAACATTGCTCAACCATTGTTGCACTCTCAACGCAAGACGCTTTTGAACATTTTCGGAGAATCTTCGTTGGATAGGCTAGTTGCGGGGACGTTGGACTGTGGTGCGTGCGGGGTACAGGTGTGAACGCCTTTGCAAATTTGACGCCAGGAGCAGATGGCAACGACGCTTCGTAAAGAGTAGATACTTACAGAGTGTCCGAAAAACCAGAGCCGATACCCGAGGGCGTCTTGCCTTGGAACATGGACTTCAACACATTTTTTGCAGCGATATGCCCTCGCCTTGCTGCGCGCAAGTTGGGATTGCTGCCGGCTTTGTTGTTGCGTAAATGCAGCCGATTACTTTATCCTCATCGGCTGAAGTGTCCACGATGAATCGCCAGCTATGCATCAAGGAGCGCGAGGGCTTTGCCTCTACCTTGGCAGAAGACGAGGCCTACCTGTCTTCGCTGGGCAACAGCTTGGGAGGTGAGCAAAGCAGCCACATGTAGTCACCACGAACTATCTAGCCCTGGCCGAGGTCCCCCAAGTGTGGGATTCATTCTCTGGGGGGGGGGTAGGCTTCGAGTAGCTTGCGAGGGGATCGACCAGAGGGAAAGTCATCGCGAAACGTTCAGGTCGAAAGGCCTGGAATGAGTATCTACGGGAAAGACGGTGTCACGGCCTTTCCGTGAGGGAGGACGTGTCGCATCTGTTTTCTAGACTATATGCATGTAACCGTTGAAGTAGTCGAAGGGGATGTGTTGAAAGCCTTTTCAGTGTTTTCTGTTCGAAGCACGTCGATCATCGAGCGCAACTCATCTAGGTACGCGCGGAATGCTTGTTGGTCGGCACGTTTTTTCGAAAACATCGGTTGTAGATTGCATGTGACATTCGCGTACATACTACCCGTTGGAGAAAATAATATCACAGTAGAGTACAGTACAGACACAGGAACTCACAGAGACCTGCTATCGCATGGTAACTTAGAGAGATGTGGCAAGACCCCGAGATGTGTCCGCGCAATCCTCTCGCAAGTTGTTTGTTTTACGTCCCGCCCAACACCCCCCCGCGTGTCGATGCTGTTATTAATGGTACTGCTGTTGCTGAGTCTTAATACCGTTGTAGTCTGGTCACTGTTGGGAAATTCCCCCACCCCTACCCCCACCCACGCGCAAGGGAGATGATCGCACCACGTTGTGTTAAAATGGTCAAACACCCTCGAGGCAGTTACACAGTGCTTACAACTGTCTCTGGAAGTGAAAGCACCAAAAAGTAAATTATGTCAATCGCAGCTGTCATCCGTACGCAAGGAAGTAAGCACAAGATGCCGAACACCCTTAGCAGGATGCAGCGCACCCTTCATGCGACTCGCCGAATATCTCACGGCGCTTCGCGCTTGGCGATGTGAAAGCCTGGGCCGGTGAGAACCCGGCGTGCTCCGTCCCGGCTTTGTAGGGATGCGAGGTCAATGGTCTAACGACTACGGCATGCACGACTATGAGTACACCCCCCCTACCCCCACCCATTGACACCTTTAGGATCACGGCCATGCTCTCTCCCTGCTGTGCTTGTCTCTGCGCGATGGGTGCTCGTTTTCTGTTTTTTTCGCAGCCCAAAAGCGGGTCGCGTTCAGCTTCCGCATGGAGAAAAAGCGAGTGCTGGACGCCGCCATCGCGTCCATCGGCACCACTGGCGGCGGCGGAATCAGGGACAATTGAAGAGGAAACCTGGCGTCCTCTTCAAAGACCGTCCTTGAGTACTCGCCGCACGCCACACCTTGTCTACTAGTATTCCAGTGCCAGGTTGTGTCCGTCCGGCACTCGAAACACGACCCGGTGTTTGGGCGTTGAATGAAGGACCAGACAGAACCGAGGGTGGCGTTGGATTAGGGCTTTGCGAAGGAAGGAGGTCTAAGCCTATAACAGTAAGTACCCGTCGCTAACACCATACGAGCATGCCGTGGCACCCTGCTGTTTTAGTTTTTTTAACTATGCGAGAGTCGTTTCTGCTGCTTGGAGCCGGCGGTGACTAACCTTACGACCGTTGCCATGTTCGCAGAATGGGGCGCTTTCTCGAAGCGATGTTTGCCGCCCTCTGGGGAAATCGGCATCTTTAGTTTGTCGAACGCTTGTTCCGAACATTGTTTTGTCGGGTGTTGGATCAAAGCGCAGCAAAACGTTCAGGGAAGCAAATGTGTCTTGAGAGTTTGGCCATGTAAAACGTGCAACCAAGAAATTTTTCTTGATGTACTGGCGAGGGTTGTGCGGAGGGAAGGCATGGAGAGGCCTCTTCCTTAATAGGGAGTGCCCCCCACAACGTGCCTACCTTGCGATGTGCCTGTAGCGCCATATCGTGTGCCATGGTAGGCCGGCATTGTCGAATACACTAAGGAGGGCATGACCCAACGGTACGACGCAGCCAGCCAAGGAGTGAGTCTCGTGGGTGGATTCACTCGCAAAGCCGGTGGATTCGCTTTTTGTGCTAATTTCCAGCTGGAGGCCCCAGGGCTTAGCGACCAAAGTCAGGTCGATCGGTTGTGCGTACAGTAGTATTGTGGCGCTGAACGGCAATTAACACAAGGGCTCGAGTGCGATGAGAACGAGCGGCTTGTTAGCTGGAAACCAGAGCTTGGGTTCACTGGAAGGAATATGTTGATGTGTTCCTGGGGTCTAGTACTGGAATCCCAGATGGAAAAACTTTCGGGAAACAGCACCCAAACGCCTACTTTCCGCACCGTAGTCACCCTAGGCTCCGCTGTGTGAAATGCTGTGCGATGCCTCTCCTCGGCCTCTGACTCGCGATCACCATCGCCCAAGCCGCGTGACCCCTACTGCAGGTCGCAAAACGATACATCGCCGGGTACTGGAAGAATTGTTGACTTGGTTTCAGTATGAAAACTGTCCTCACGTGCTTGGGGATACTTTTTCATTCTAAAACTAAGTCCCCCTTTGTCTGGCAAGGAGCTCAGATTATTGCGAAGGGCTGGATAGCCCCTCGACCAATGGCTGACAAACATTATTTTTTTTTGCTAGATTGTTCTTTTTGCGGAAAGACTGGGCAAGGGTTAACTCTTATTCCACAGGGTGGGCCGTCACGAGGACGCGATTCAGGGCAGGTCACTTTTGCTGTTGTATGGTGCCACTTGATAATGGTCGCTACAATGAACAGGGCATCTCCTCCGCCGGTCGCATACCGGTTAACTACTTCGTCTATGAAGTTGCGCCGCAATTTTTTTGCAAGCGTTGTCACAGGGTCCAAGCGCGCCCAGCACCGAGCAGGCTCTCCCCCACTCGCAAAGACTTCCAACACCCTCCCCTTCTACTGTGGCATGTGCTCAAACGGGCAGTCTGTCTATGTTTTTGGTCAAGAAGCCAGGCCAGCGGGGGCCCACTTGCTGATTTGAAGTTTTTAGTACGAATTTATAGGTGTGCGTCAGGAGTGGCCACCACCTCCAACAAAGATACTGTTTCGTGTTGCAGCGCTCGCGTCGTGTCATTACCCAGTAGCTGCGCTTGTTCCCTGCTGTACCTTACGCTCTATGAATAGTGTTGTGCACGCACCACACAGACACTACATGCTAACAGATTCGCTCATCGCCTGATGTTGGAGGAGGAGTCGGATCGAAACCAAGAGACATGTTGTTTCCCTTTGCGCGAAACGCTCGATTGATGTTGAACGAAATTTGTTTAACCGCAACATCTCTCGGTCACGTCACATCCTGTTCAACTTGGAGGGGATACACGGGAAGAGGTTGCCCAATAGGAGCCGAAATCGTAAATGCGTCAACATACCCCTTTGGCCTCGGACATACGACGGCAAGGAGTGATTGCTACAACATATTTCGAATATTAGACTAGGTCGTTTGTCGTTGGTCGTCGGTCGCTGCGGCAGCCCCATGCTACTTGCCTACGTACGAGGGCAGAGCGGTTCGCCGACTCTCCTTGTTGGCGTTCGCAACACATTCACCAATCCACCACACCAGTACGGACACACTTTCGCTCGACGAGTCGAGGGGGTATCGTACCCGTAAGGAGCATGCGCAAGCATCGACGATTGTACCGCAGTATACAGCGTCGTACGGTATATCGGGTTGACCAATAGTCTATTTCTCCTATTATAGTGCCGCCCGAAGAACACAAGGTCAAGGCACCAGCACCTGAGCCAACAACACAGCAACAGGTCAAAACCAGCAGTGAGCACAACAGCAGCACCTTGGAATCAACGAAGACCAAGTCTCGAGTCAGGTCCATCTATTTGGATACGAGTCAGGTCAATATTGTCTAGTGGTGAAATCTTCAGAACACTACCGAGAACCACGCGCCCTCTCGTTGTGGAGTGCAGTTCGGATTGCTTGGCACCGTCGTCGATAGAGAGAGTGAGAGAGTCAGTGGTCTCTTCTGCATGGCCCGTGACCCATACCCTACTGGCGAGAGAGAGGGCATGTCGTCCCATCGTCATGGGGAGAATGCTGGACAACAACTATCTATGTACTTTCGGGTACTCGTGCGCAAGAGGAGCCTTCGGGTGTAGTGACAAGTCCGGGCGTTTCCTTAGAACGAATCAGCGAGTCAAGATGAAGGCCTTCGACATGGCCGACACATTCATAGACTCCGCGAGCGTTCGCGAGCTGATAGAGTTTGAAGTGACCACCATGTGTTGTACCAATACGCACCCGAACATCGTCCGGTTGGTCGACGTTCTGGCGAGCAAGGGCAAGATTTTCGCGCCATAGAGCGGGTGGGCGGGGGCGATCTTTTCGACGCGATCGTTGCGGAGGGAAGGTACATGCTGTTGATCTGCCGGTGTCGCGTGTTTTCACGGTCATTTTTTTTGTCGACTTCCGTTTACCTGCGTTGAATTGGGAAAATGTGTACTTTGGCTCATTCCGTGGCGTCTTGGCGGACGTTGGCTGGCGCGTTAGGTTTGCCTGTGTTGGTTGACGCCATACTTCTTCCGGGCGGTCAATACGTTGTTGCGATCACTTGAGCTTGTTCGAACGGAACTGCGCCTCTGCTAACTCCTCCCGTTACCCACGTGTGCAAGCAGACGTTTCCACCAATTTGCGCCCAAGAAGTCTTCCGGCAAAGACAGGGACCAGAACACATGCAAGCAACATGTTGCACGCGCGGGCAGAACCACAGGAGTGATACAGGGTGGAAAGGGCATTATCACAGCCGCGGGCATCCAGGACTCCAAGCCACTGCAACAGCATTCCAATTGGTTAAGCAAGTCGACGACATCTTAGATTGCAACCCCACCGTTTTCGGACAACACAATCTGGGAAACTCTGCTCCGAATTCAACATGTCTTGGTACTACATACGTCTACATAGCTCATCCATAGCACGGCCATCGAATGCTGCATGTATTGGCCATTTTTCCCGGTCCTGCTACAATCCTTCAGCCAGAAAACGTTCTCTTGGACAAGAGAGGTGTGGTCAAGCTGACGGGCATCGCGCTGGCAGGGCTGCTCGCCCCATCCATCGGCGATCACCCGGCCAACCATCTTCACGCTACGTGCGGAACACCAGACTACATCGCTCCTGAGGTAAGTGCGCCATGTGTTAGCCTCGCTGGCACCTGGTACAGATGCGTTAGGCGAGTCTCATACAGTACCGCATGCGATGCAACATCTTTTTTCTCTCAGACAAACTTCTCGACATGATTTACGTGCCATTTTTGGCGCCAACCTCTGACGACAGGTACGTGGCAAGTGGAGGATTCGGGTGGGGGCGGGGCCGCGTTACACGATACATTGAACACGGAACCCATGCAGATACCACGAGATTTCCCGCCCTTGCTTTTGGAAGAGTTTTCTGCACGTTGTTCCTGTTTTCGCGAGCGGTGGATCTGTCTCCAGAAGCATTTCATGTACGTTGAGTTACTGTAGCTTGCGCCATTTCGACCATATACTTCTTCGCTGTGAAGAGTACAGGCAGGAGATGACCTGCTGGACCACGGTGGAAAGAGTTTACCATGACAATGACGAAAACCACAACGCATCCTCCGAACGGAATTAGGTTATAGAGGGAGCGGGATACGACGGTCGACCGGCTGATCTTTGGTCGGCTGGAGTCACGCTCTACACCATGCTCGCCGGTTTCCTTCCCTTCGAGGCCGACAGCATTGAGGAAACGTTCGCAAGGATTCGGGTAAGAATTACTCGCCTTGTGCGCATAGGTACGAAAAGGAACATCTGATTTTTTCGTATCTGTAGATGAGTTTCAACGTACGGTGAAAGCTCTCCCGTGGTTAGGTGCGTGTTCGACTTATTGCACGCACGTGACAATCGTTTTCGCACATGCAAACACTACGGCCAGTTTCAGAAACGAGGGATGCACGGGAGATCGTTGGGTGGCGTGGGGGCGGGGGGAACCATACGTCATGCCACGATCACCTGACCGTCGAGTACAGCTTCCGCGGCACTCCCGCCCAAAATGAGAGTCACCCAGCCCCACATAACACCTACATCACGACGTTCACATCAATGCCACCCTAACAGGCTGCAGATTTCAAGCGCCCCCCCGAGATATCAATGTCGGCATGGTCTTTGCTTGAGGGCTTGCTGGAGCTGAACCCGAGAAAGCGCTACCCGATAGCTGATGTGCGGCTGCACCCCTGGATGGATCATCAACCATTGGACAGGTTCACGACCTCAAACACCGCAAAGTCTTTCGGCAGCGGAGAGAAGAGCATCAGGCAATGCTCCGGCAGCAGCAGCAGCAGCAGCAGCAGCAGCAGCAGCGAGAGCACCTGTGGCGGAGGCGTGGAGGGTGCCCGCCCGTGTCCCAAACTTACCCTAGATATCTGGAAGATCGATGACGACGACCGAAAACAAGGCAGGGTCGGTGAAGGCAAAGATGGCAGGGATACAGTTGTCCAGATGGAAGCCGGCTTAAACAGCTACAGTGTCAGTGGGAGCGCGAGCGAATACGACGGCAGCGGCTTCCCAAACTCAAGTGGAAGATCCGACATGAACGACAGTCACTCGTCCTACGCGGCAACATCGTGCTGCGGGATGGAAATTAAGTACAGCAGCGACGAGTCTTCGGCAGCGGCCGATTGTTACCACGACAGCAGCCGGCCGAAATTGACCTCGCGGTCACCCCCGGCCTCGGCCTCGGCCTCGGTGCTACCATTTGACTACTGCTACCGTTTCTCCGACAGGCGCACTGATTCTTACCGGCGGTCGTCTTACCTACCACTCGGCTTGACGGACTCGCTCCCCCCGGCTTCCTCGGCCTCGCCTCCATCGTCCATGTCCCCGGCGGCAGCCTGGAGGTGCACGTGGGCGGATGTGATGGGCAGGAGTGGGGGGCGCCAAGAGGCAGACCCCCCGAGCGCTAGAGCGTCGACTCTGAGGAGTCGTAGCCGGAGGCGGGACGAGCACAGTTTCTCGCGGCGGCGGCACGTTCAGGACCAGCGCCTCCACCCGGTCGGTTTCCGCGCCTCCTCCCGCTCGGAGGGCTCCACGGAGGAAAAGGGTGTGTGGGCGCGAAACGAAGGAACGTTGTCGAGCTCTACGGAAGATGTGATGAAGCTTCACCATAGTGAGGGGGTCGATTTCGCGGGGGGTTCCGAGACCGAAGTTAATCACCTCGCAGGACGTATAGGTAAGGTGGTCATCGTCGGCAAGCACTCCATCACGCCCAAGACGGAGCAAAATACATCCGGCAGTTTGTGGCCCTGTGTCGACCGGATTTTTACCACAGACGCACCGAAACAACTGCGGTCTTACTCCTCTGGTACTTCGTTGTCACCGTCTAGGCAGATTAAGTCTCGTTCGTCACCCCGGCGACGCCATCAACAGAATGCAACTGTTATCGAAAAGCATGCCCATACCTGGTCCGAAGGCTCTCCGTCAAGTGTCTCCAGACGCTATCAAGCGCTTAGCACGTCACCGCGAGTAGGTGGCGGTGCTGGAAGCGCCAGCACTAGGATCGCCGTGGTATCGCCGGCAAGCCCAACCGCGGCGAAGTTGCGGTCGTTGGACCTAGGAACGAGTAGTGCTGCAAGGGACGCAGCGCTAGTCGGCGTGGAGCTCAACAGACCGATGGGATGGAAATGGCAGCGTCTGTCTCCACTTCTAGCACGTACAGCCCCTCGCGTTCCGTCTCGAGCAGCACCATCTTCCACAGCATCTCCCGGCCCACCTGGAGGCTGGCCGAGACGAGCATGTCGATGAGAAGGCTCGGCGCAACGCGCCTGTTGCGCTCACTCCCCGAGAACGAACCCTTGAGCCTCGCGAAGGCGTTTCAAAGCTCGCTTGGAGACCAGTGCGGGTGCGTCTGCCGCCTGTTGCCGGATCCCAAGCGGGAAGCGCGCGCGAGGGTCAAAGCCTGTCGTACGATCGCGCCAAGACCGGGGAAAGAGACCCTCGTGGGCGTCGTTTTGAGCGTGATGTACCCCGGGGCCACGACGCCTCCGATAGCGGATGGGTTTGGTGACAGCAGCTGTCGCGACGGGAACAAACGAGGCATCGCCGACGTCCGCAGCTGTGGCCGCAACGGCGATAGCGAAGGTAGCTGCCGTAGTGGGACACGCAGAGGCCGTGGTCAAGATTGTGGCCCGGCCGCCGACGGCCCGGATGAAAGGAGTACCGACGTTCTCGTCGCTCTCAACGCAGGCACCGTCCGAGCCTTTGACCTCCTCATTGAGGATCTGCTCTCGTTGAGTGACGGGCAATGGCGCGCCAACGTGGTGCTATAACGGGTGTGCTACTTGCTACCGCCGTTTTGAGATCATGCGTTGGGGGTTCGAGAGGGATTCTAGCCCGTACGTAAGGGTACGCACCTGAGCGAGTTCTCGCATATGCAAAAAGTAGGAACTGAACTACCGTAGATTGGGCTTCATACTCTGGATTCTTTCAGACGTGATGCATAGGGAGTCGCTACCGATCTGGATCATAGCGCCATGGTAATGCAAGCCGAGCTTGGGGCAAAGTATACAGCAATGTCGCCTACAAGTTTTGATCCCCGCCTGATGCACGTCAGGCAATGTCATCGAATTATATCATTCTCGAAGAAGGCGATTTCCGATTGGCCCAGACTGCCCGCCGGGTGTGGTGGAATAAGTGTAGTGAATTCACCTCTAAGGGTGGTTTGGTTTCACTGCTTGGGTCGGTCTCCACCATTTCAGGAATCACAGCTCTGGAGTGCGCTCATTTTCCACCACTGGACCCACGCGGCCACTTATCGCTCACATTTTAGAGACGATAAAACACAACAGCGTGGTAATTACGTAAGAATAATGGTATATGACCCCTTCCTTCAAAATCAATCGCGTTTCTGCTGTGTGGAACTCTCTTGTCGGACCTCAGCAGCAGGTTGTTGTTGCTTTCCGCTGTTATCTGCCTCTTGATCAACGCTTTCCAAGCCAACTCACAATATCCCACGCACGTACAATCATGGATCGTCTGCACCCACACTGGTCAGAAGGGCACACGTCTCGGCATGAGCCCTGATCTAGCATGTCGTCACGTCTTAGCATTCGACTGCGCTAAATAACCGTGGTCAACCATGATCACCTGTCTACCTCCAGATATCATAACATAGGAACAACAAATCACTTTTGGGATATCGAGGATCGACATATTCCACTTCGGGTTCACTGATCAAATGAGCACATTTCGCAGAAATTTGGCCGGTTTGTCTACATGCAGCGCATTTCGAGCGCACGCAAGCAAGTTGGGAAAACGCAGTAAGTGCATTGAAGCCTGTCGCGAGCACAACAAGAACGCCAAAAAATTGACTCCAAAAGGGCTCAAGGCTCGAGCTATGCAAGACTGCCCAATTGTTTTCACACGACATTGTAATGCGATGTCCCCTTCAAAAACGACCTTCAAATGACACAGAAAACGATGATCCCGATACAGGTGCAATACGCCCGAATCCATTGACATTTTCATTCTTTTATTTTTTCTCCCATCATCGGATTCTGTCGTCTGCCCCTCTGGCCCCTATCCTCCACTTCTACTTGCTAGACGACCCAACCGGGGTCACATAGGAGGGGGGGGCTGGACCCCCTCCTGCGGTTCCTGCCTGAGGTATTTTTATCGCGAGAAGGGTACAGCAATCCCTTCCCTCGCGACTTACGAAGTCGATTATGGTTTACTAACAACGAGCTTTGCAACGCGTCGCTTTAGTCCTAGACCAGGAATTACTTAGTGAGAGAAAACTCACTCTGCCGGGACTCGAACCCATGACCTGGCCCTTAGGATGCTGCGAGGTTACCCACTAGACCACCAGGGCGACCGGTGTATCGATATGAATATCCGAACAAACGAAACAAACAACTCCGAAAACTTGCCGTTATCGCAGTATTCTCGTCAGATTTCTAAACGACCCTCGTTATGCATGCGTACACGCAGTTCCTCTACGAGACCGTTGGTCTGTAGAGGCTTCGCAGAACCGTACAAACAAGTGTCTGCCTGTCGCCTTTCACTGCCGTGACGCGTCATCCTGAGCACCTGAGGTTTCACCCCACTTCTCATGGACCATTTGTTCGCATTCGCTTCACTCCTCTTTATCTAAATGTGTCGATTGAATCATGCACGATTTACTTGGTGCCCGCGTCAATTACTTATTCGCTCCAATGTACGTTGGGAGTAATGCTGCGAAATTTCACTCCACCATGTGACATTTTCATTCACTCATTTCTGACGGTATCCACGTAAGCTTCACTCACTCGATACTTCGACTTTGTCCTCCGCTAGGTATGACATTACTCACACACATTGTCCCACTCACTTTGATAGAAGGGTTAACGAGATGTGTTCCCTTAACCTCCTATGAGGGGTAGGACATTGCAATGTGACACTGCGATGTCGGGTGCACACACGCAGCTGAACTGGAACGAAAAGCAGATGAGGGGCCACCATTCGTGTAGCTATGAGTTTGGTGCCCGGCGAGATGGTACTGGCGATGGGAGGGTGGGTTCGGGCGAAAACTCAGGTTCTGGGTGTGTTGCCAAACCGGTAGGGTGGAATGAATTTTTATGAGTAGGCAGTAACAAATGGGATTCGCCAGGTGTTCTTGTGGGAGCGAGGCTTGAATGTTCGGCAGGAGGGCAGGGAAATGCCTGGGGGGTTGCGGACACGGGCGTGGCTGTAACCAAACCGAGATGGGTTGGAATGAACTTTGATTGCAGTCGGTGCAGCCAGCCTCGGATACAGGCCAGAAGTTTTCAAAGGCGAGAGCGTGGGCAAGGGCCGGATGTTGTAGGTGAGCGCAGCCGGGTGTAGTCAATAAATGTGGAGTTGCGTGGGAAGAACCCAAAGTGCGGGGGGCAGTTGGGGCCAGAAGCTCGAAAGAGGCGGGATGCTGCTCATTCGTGTTTGTGTGTGAAACGACCCAACCGAAAACATTCGCAGGCGATGACGACGGGATTGAAGCGAATGCTTGTGCTGTACGTACATGCTCATAGAACTGTGGTCGTTGAACTACCGTACAGCAACTCGTCGCCGCAGTGGCTGGTGCCTCGGTGTTTGCAACGCAACATTTCCCAACGTTTGGTATTTCGGTTCGAGTCTGGCCCAGAGTGATTCAATCTAGAGGCCTCAAACCCACCTTGCACTGCTCTGAGTGGCACTTTTTCGCCTCCTGGCTGTAGTGTTGGCCCGGCGTGAACGCCTAGTTCCCTCCAATCCAGATCGTGCTCTCGCTCAAGAGAAAGAGCTTGGCGCAAGCCGAAAAAGCCCTTGCTGCTGTGGAGGGAGACCTCTCAATAAAGCTATGATGAAATCGAAGACAAGCGCGCGCGCAGGTTCTTCTCGGTCAAGGTTTGTGATAAATATTGCCCGAAAGCGCTTGCCGCCCAGTGGACGATGTCAGGGAGAGTCGATACCCGCGAAGACGCCAGACCAGTTTACGTTTCCCTCTTCCTTTGGTGAAAACCAAGCGGACCGTCGACCTTAGCAAAGTGAACTTCCGCAGGAAGAAGTCATATGTTTGAGAGCCTTCTAACTCCAAAAATACTTCCATGACGGACACCCATTATTTTCCTGTTATTTTTGTTTTGTATTATTTTGATCGGTGTCCGAGGGCTCTTTTCTCGAACGGTCGGTGCGATACCTGTGTTTTTCTTTCTATCATTTTGTTTTCTTTTNAACAACAACAACAACAACAACAACAACAACAACAACAACAACAACAACAACAACAACAGCAACAACAACAACCCAATCTGAACCTCCCCGTCCGTGGAAATTGCTGCGTCCATGAAATATTTCTCAGCTTGCATGGATCCTTCTATTCATCTTCCATGGAAACAAAGCACATCGTTCTTCCACACGAGATTGTTGTTGTTGTTGACTTCACATTAAACCGTATGCCAGTTGCTAAATGCCAAAATCTAGCAAAGACTCTCAGCCCGTGGTCACGAAAGTGCTAGAGCCATCTGAGGATCTAAAGAACACGCACACGTAGCAAGAAAAAGGTGTACAAGAGCCCGAAGAGGTACTACTACACCTATATATAGTCCCTGCAGCACCGTACGCGTGCCCAAAACTGAACTACACGTCCGTCTCACCGTTCGACTACAGCAACATCACCCCCTACCTGTCCCACTCTGTACCAAAACGAATGATTGCCGACTACAGCATACTTGCTGTCTGAAGTGCTGTCTGTACAAAAACACCATGGTAGGCATGGAACAAGAAGCTGGCGGGGCACAAAGCTGCTGTCTGAAGTGCTGTCAGAATGTGTCTGCGGACGTACAGTGAAAAAGAACAACCAACCAAAGCCATGATTGCAATGGACAATCACCCGAACCTCTCCCGATCGTCTGTGTTAGGCACGCAGTGAAAATATCGACAATAGCTAAGAATCGTTCCACATTGAAGGGGTCTTCCACGATCAGGCACCTAACCAAGGCACCCGGGTTAGCCACGCCATCTCTGACGGGTCTCTCTACAAAACCAGTGACGACGTCATCACATAGAACCAACACCGAAAATCAGGAAAAAAACGAGAAAAATTGACAACACAGATCAGATATAAATGTTTGTCCGTGCGCCACGGGTCGATGTCGCCCGCATGCTCCGGTGCCGCTGCTCCGTCCGGCGCCGCTGTAGTCAGCCCGAGCATAACGCCACTCGACCTGCTCCGTCCGTACACGCTCTCGTTGCTGTCCTTCCCAGTCGGTTCCTCGCTTTCTCCCTCCTTGCACTCAAGGTTCTTGGTCTGAAAAATAAAAATTCTCGCGCCGAAGGGGTCAACCAGCCCAGTTCAGCTCGTCGCCACCTGCTCCCTCCTCCTTTGATGGCGAAGCCAGGTTACTGAGGCAATGCAGCGCCCTCTAGCCAACCTAGGGCCGTGTACATAGTTCCCGTCCACCTTCTGACGGTGTCTGCCTCCGCGCACAAAAAATGAGATGGGCATCGCTGCCTACGCCGACGGCCAGAGGCCCGCGCATCTACATTTTTTCGCCTGACCCCATCAGTGCCGACCCAACTACACCACCACGCGCATGCCTCGCGGCGGATATGCGCAGCAGCAAGAAGGTTTCGGTCATCCCTTGAGGGTGAGTCTAGCCCTGCTCGCCAGAAAGACCCCCCCCTTCACTACAACCCATGTCTAAGCAAAAGCTTGTCGAGGAGCGAGGGGAAGAAGGGAGAAGAGTGGTATACAGAACGATTGCATGGAACTGAACCGTGATCTCTCTTCGAATGAATATGTTCTGAAGAAATTCAGTTGGCAACCACTGGAGCGCCGGTAATGTTGAACGGCCTCCATTTGACGCCCACACCGTCCACGATCCTGGTTGCCAAGCTCCCAAGGAAAGTTCCACAAGGTTCATGCGGTCTTGGTTGTCTCGACAAAGAGCTGCGAGGCAGAGAAACTCAGGGATTTCCCTCCCCATTTCGGTCCTGTCGCAACGTAGTATCTGCAAACAGCCTGTATTGTAGTACCTCCCCCCCTTGGTATCCATTTACCCGCCAATAGCTGATTTAGTGTTGCACACATATATAGTCCATTCGTTTCGATCCACTACAATTGGGAGGCATGTGTTAAGGAGTGTGGCTGGTAGCATGAATAGGGTAAATCTTATTGTTGATAGGATGCGGGTCGGTCAGGAGGTATACCCTTCGAACCCCTACCCCCTTAGAGTTTACTACTCTGTGTACCCCCTGAGATGAAGTTAACGTTGATCCCCACTCCATCTCAGACCCTTCCTTGCTGATCGTCTCTCAGCAATAACAAGCAACTTTCCTATCTCAACGTGGTCGTGGACAAGTGTGTCAACGACAGAACCTTCATCTATCTCTAGGAGCAAGCTACCGCCCACGGCTTCACCTCCTTTAAACTCGGCGTCAGCTGGCATTACACGGTAAGCGGGTGTTGGACGCGGCCTCCGCACTGCCGTGTGTTGTTGCCACGCTTTCTTCACAGCCACTGGGTTGCTTGTTATTTGGTTTCACCACCCACGAGAATCTAGACTTAACCTCTTCTCTGCTTCCTCTCCTGTAGAGATGCTGGCTTGTGATGCTTTTGCGAAGCGCCTGCGGGACTGGGATCTTGCAAAGGATACGCGCCTCGGCGGCCATCGCGATGTTTTGGGTGATTTTTCGTACGTTCGCCGTCCCTCAAAAGCTATTTTGTCTGCATCGGCGGTCCATGAAGTGAATTCTGTGGCGGATACGCTCTGCGACCTGAGTTGCTGGCCTTGTGTAGTGGGACCCGAGATGACAGCATGCTTCGCACGTCTGCTACCACCTCTACTGTATTCATGCCGGCGTACCGGCCGATGTCCGCGGGTTTTCCTGTTGTGCTCTCCGATTTGACTCTGCTTACTTCGACTTGGAGCGCATTGTGTGCACACAAATTGGGTGTCAGCCGTCCCACCAGCCTTCCCTTCATTTTTCGACATCACATGGCACTTTTTTTCGGGGAATTGTTCACCCTCAAAGCATTTGAATTGGAAACCTTTCAACAGCGCAAACCCANGTTTTCCTGTTGTGCTCTCCGATTTGACTCTGCTTACTTCGACTTGGAGCGCATTGTGTGCACACAAATTGGGTGTCAGCCGTCCCACCAGCCTTCCCTTCATTTTTCGACATCACATGGCACTTTTTTTCGGGGAATTGTTCACCCTCAAAGCATTTGAATTGGAAACCTTTCAACAGCGCAAACCCACAGCGGTCTTTGCTCGCACTTCAGCACCAGTTGCGGAGGAACGCCGTGCTGCTCTGCGTGTCTTTGGTCGGAAAACCTCGTGTCTCCATCTAACACGGTTCCTTTGGTGCTAGCTTCTTACTGCTGTTTGTGCGTGGCATGGTGTGCTTTTGGACGCTTTTTCTGCTTGGTTGGATCCGCTTCAACCTCGTGTGCGCCAAGCTTGTATCACTGGGCGTATGATATCCTGTGGATATCTCCGCCTTTCGCATGGACCTCGGCTTGCTTTTCCCGAGGTTGCACCCGGCTTTACTGCTTCTGCTGCTCTTGGTTCTGCTGCCTCAACTGCGGTTCGTTATCCTACATCTGCTGTTTCTGACCCTGCTGCCCTTTCCACAATCGATCGTAGCTACTCTCTCTCTGGCCCTGTCTTTGATAAAAAAAGAGGACAACATGTCCAGCGGCAATGTGGAATTCCTGGNGCCAAGCTTGTATCACTGGGCGTATGATATCCTGTGGATATCTCCGCCTTTCGCATGGACCTCGGCTTGCTTTTCCCGAGGTTGCACCCGGCTTTACTGCTTCTGCTGCTCTTGGTTCTGCTGCCTCAACTGCGGTTCGTTATCCTACATCTGCTGTTTCTGACCCTGCTGCCCTTTCCACAATCGATCGTAGCTACTCTCTCTCTGGCCCTGTCTTTGATAAAAAAAGAGGACAACATGTCCAGCGGCAATGTGGAATTCCTGGGCGACAATGTGGAAATCCTGGGTGACGAACCCGAGGGCGAGGCTCCCACCGCAGAGCAGTTTCCAGCGGCCGGTGCGGGAGACGAGAGCCGCCCCATGCTCGTCGTGTTCACCGTCGATAAATTGCTGGCCAATATCGCCACAGCAGATCCGGCGGAACTGGAGTAAGCCTACAACACTGGACGTATCCCTTTGGAGGATATTGTCAAAGCGGCCCGTCTGTCGTCTGATTTTCCCCTTCTCGTCCCTCCTTCCTCGCTTCCCCCGGAAGAAAAATTGCTCCCGTTACCCCACGATGAGTTTATGGCCTATCAAGCGTTGAACGCGATGTTGTGCAACGGTCTTGCCAGAAAGGTCGCAGACGCGGAAGCACGGGAGAAGGCGGAGCGCGACGACGCAGAGCAGGAAGAGGAGCGTGAGGCTGCTTGGGCTGCTGCTGCGAGGAAGCAGGCGGAGGATCGGGAGGCTGCCCGGGCTGCTGCTGCAAGGAAGCAGGCGGAGGACCGTGAGGCTGCTCGGACTGCTGCTGCGAGGAAGCAGGCGGAGAAGCGTGGGGCTGCTCGGGCTGCTGCTGCGAGGAAGCAGGTGGAGGACCGTGAGGCTGCTCGGGCTGCTGCTGCGAGGAAGCAGGAGGAGGAGCGTGCTGCTGCTCTGGCGGAGCGTGAGGCGTATCTCCAAGCTGCTAGGGCGAAGCAGGGGGCGCTCCGATCGCGGCTGGAGGACCTGGAGCCCCGCCACCAGCACCCGCGAGCAGCAGCTGTGCCTTCCCCCTACCCCCGTCGTCGTATTATCGTCCGTCCCCCAACGCAATCCCAGGTGCCCCTTGGTTCCCGTAGTACCGCCTCGCCGCACGAGAAGGAGCGGGAGGTGGCGGCTACTCCGACGAACGAAAAGGAGCGGGAGAGGGCAACGACTCCGGAGTTTTCGGTGACGTTGGGTCTTCCGGCCGGTGCTGAAGACGGAGCATCGTTTCCGGCCGCAACCACGGTTTACGAGTTCCATGTTGGCGATACAGCGTTCCTGTCCCGCCCGCTGGAGATGCCTGCATCAGAAGTAACGTTCCACGATGAGGACAAACTGGCAGCTCTTTTTGCATGGGCTGGTAAAACAACTCGTCCATGCGCAATTTCCCCAACCACACACCGTTCCTTTCGGGCATATTTATCATGCCCCCTACATCGCGAAACCTCCGCCTTCTTCGCGGCAGTCCGTGTTGCTGCTTTTGTTCGCTCTCCGTCGTGCCACCATTCGTAGCGGTCCTCAAGGAACGTCGGTGGTGATCGAAGATGGAGGACTCCAGCTGCCTCTTGCTCGTGCTGCCTCCAAGCAAGATTTCAAGCACGATATCCAAGCCCCCCGGCAGGCCTCTTCACGCCCTGCACATGTTTTCAGAGGGAACAAGGATTACAGTCGGTCGGCGCCTCCTGCGTCTAAAAGCTGTAAGAGCCGTTGGGGTGACCAAGATTCGACGGCCAAGAGCGGGACGGACGACCACCGCCGCTCCACCGGGTCTTCGCGAGGGCGCGGCGTCGGAGATAACGGGCGAGGGCAAGCCGTGGGGAACCAGCCTACCAGGTCTTCGCCGGCGAGCCGCCATCGCCGGAGCAGGAGTCGGAGCGCAGAACGTCAACAGCACACCAATCCTTCGTCGAAGCGTGGGCGCAGCCGGAGCGGAGACCGTCGTGGGAGAAACATGTTTGCGGCCTACGCCACTTATTTATCGGGTGAGACTGTTTTGGTGATGTATCAACTTCACGAGAGGTCGCCGACCGTCCTTCACACGGACGAAAGAGGGAGTGCTCAAAGAGCGGCTCCCACAGCAAGGAGGGGCCCCGTGAATCATCGCGGTGTCCCCGACCAAACGGTAACCATACCAGTCTGCGTGACACAAAATCATCCAGCACTTGTATCCAACCACAATGTTCGCAGACCCACGAACACCCTCCCTGGTTCTTCACGAAAGTGACTAACCATCAATTGGGCAAGAACGCCCCTGGATACATCAGAAAATACCAACATGGTCATATATGGAGGGGAAACCCGGCGTCCGGGCAAAACCCCTCAAGGAAAACCCTACCACCACAAAAAACCGTCGCCATCACAGCGGATCACAACGGCCGCACTTATTAGAAAGGCCACGGCGAAGACAAGAACGCGAGGAACTACGTTCCCCCGGACGATGGTCTCCCAACGCCCCCCACTCCTGCCATTGGTACACAGACCGCAACAGTTTTGCGCCTTTTCCCGCATCGAAAACCTGGCCTCTCCCAAGTGCTAGAAACTGCTACAGCTACTCCGGCAAATTCATCAGCTTGCGCCGGTGATACTGCAGACTGGCCCTGCTAAGGGCCTTGGTGAGGAGGTCCGCGTGTTGCTTCGCTGTCGGGACAAACGTGACCGAAATATCCCCCGACCTAAACAATCCGCGCATTAAATGAAACCGCACGTCGATGTGTTTCGTGCGACCTGACCTGAGAGGGTTCTGCACCAACGCTATGGCCTTCTGGTTGTCCTCAAGGACCTGGATGCTGCTACCACTGGTCTCTGGGGCAATAAACGAAAGCACAGCACGCACAAACAACGCCTCCTTGACGCCCTCCCCGGCAGCAATGTACTCGGCTTCCGTCGAAGACAAAGACACGATGCTCTGTGTCTTGCTACCGTGGCTGACTACGGTACCTCCAACCGTCGTCGCCAACCCTG